AATCTATTAAATGAAAATAACACAAATAATAAGACATAATGGTATTTTGATACAGAAGATTTTTTTCAAACTTAAATAACTATACACCTTTCCAATTAGACCAACCACTGCTTTAAATATAATCAACACTATTCAGTTCAATACAGTTTAATCACAATCTTCATGTCTGTCTACACATGGGAAAGAATTATCAGGTGACTGTAACCACAAAGATAAATTGAGTGATCAGCTTATTGTATGCAGCAGATCTTAAGAACTAATATTCTTAAATGTCCCCTGGAATAACAAAATCTAACCCCACCTGCCATCAAATAAACATACAAATCTTGAGCTTAATGTCATTTAAGGGATCCGTTACAAAGACCAGCAATAGACGCTATCCTCAAAATGTACATTTCATTTACTTTAAAACGGTTAACTCAAGACAGTTTAATAGATCCTGTCGTATCTCTATAATTGTTACAACAAGCATTTGGGGAGTTCTTAATCCACAATTTCCGGCCAAAAAAAAGTGGGGGTAGATTTTGTTATTCCAGAAGACATTTAAGTATATTCATTCTTAAGATCTGCTACATATAATAAGCTGATCACTCAGTTTTTCTTTATGGTTACAATCACCTAATTATTTTCTCTCATTTGCTGCATGAACCAGAAAAAATGTCCCTCCTCAAACTGAAAAGTAATGTGTTAGGAAGAGGAAATGACACAGGTTACCACATGAGACTATACCAACATCCAAGTCTCTGATATCGAGGCCAGCATGGCAGTGAAGCAATCTGCACCCTTCAAAAAGGCCAACAGGTGAGAGAAATATGTCAAGGAGCTCAACTGATAAGCACCGATTTGGGCAGGTTTCCACAAATGTCCTAGTAACTTCACAGCTAAATTTAATTCAAGGAAAAGACGTAAGTTGAAACAGACATAATGGAAATAAGATGTTAGCAACAAATTACATTTTCTTTCATCTTGGAAAAAATATAGTTTAACTTCTTTGAACAAAGGAGATAAAGAGTAACCAGGATTTCATTTTTAAAATGTAAAACAGTATTAACTTTTTGTTTAAAAACCTACTAAATAATATCCTAATTTTTGATTTCATATTAAACAAAATATATTTACCAGTTTATCACCAAATAATTTTTTTACAAAACCTTAAAGGGGTTTCTCTATCCCATGCTACTACAAAGTAACCGTGATTTTAAAAAACAGGCCAGGCACAGTAGCTCACACCCATAATGTCAGCACTTTGGCAGGCCAAGGCAGGAGAATCACTTGCATCCAAGAGTTCGAGACCTGCCTGGGCAGCATAGTGAGACCCCATTTCTACAAAAAATTTAAAAAGAAAAATTAGCCAGGCATGGTTGTGCCTGCCTGTAGTCCCAGCTACTCAGGAGGCTGAGGAAGGAGAATCACTTGAGCCCAAGACATCAAGGCTGCACCCAGCCTGGGTAACACAGTGAGACCCTATCACAAAACAAATAAACAGAAATCCAGATCTTCATGTTTTCCTCAGAAAACTTTCATTTCAAAGTATATTAGGATCTGTCGACTGCATTTTTAAGGTATTAACAAAAATAATGATCACTTCACCTCTACATCTGTTCTCTGAGAAGTGATCAACTTGCCATGTCACTCTAACTGTAACTAAAGAACATTGGAACAGCAGACTATATATTAAGATTTACCCCCTCCGGCTTACTCCACCAGCTAGCTAATTCACAAATATGAAAAATGACAATCCACCTTTAAAACACAGCTTAAAACAGTACACTTAGAGAAGTTTTCAAGGGGTGAATCACTTTCTCACATTTTATCTCTAAATCCAAAACCGAAGCATTTGTCACCACGATCCCTCTAACAACCCTCCATTTTGCTGCATACCTGTGGGGCTTGGCTGGCTGCTGACTTCCCTGCTTTTTTACTACTAGATGTTCCTCTCCCTGGTTGTCTCCAGAGTTTGCAGACCTTTTGGTATTAAGTATATCTTCCACTTTCCCACTATGCCAAATAACCTCAGGATATTTAAAAGCCATTTTCCCTATCAAATAACAATGAATTTGCAAGCTGTCTGACACTTTGATCTATCTGTATTTATCAACCTAGTATCTTTCCGCAGGATTAATTTGCCAGGCATACAACTTTTAAAGGGAGGGGAGAAAAACAACATAACCATTAACAGCATTTCCAGTTCCATGTTTTTCATTCTTCATGGATCACAGTGTGTTTCAGAGATGGTAACGTAGTTGAAAAACTAAACCGCACTGACAGGATAAAATGTCAACATTCTTTTTAGATGTCATAAGTCGTTTTCTGTGTTTTTAACAGAAATGTTGGCCCCACTTTCTCTCATAAAAGCACATTTCTAAAAGGTAAATCCTTCCAAAGAAAACACATCTTTTTGAAACTTCAGAGGTAAACTCTGAAACCACTGCTTTAGGAAGGGTCACCCTTACAGCTCAATTTGCCTGAGGCTGTCCTGTGTCATGTTTGTGGCCTTGGTATAACTATTCATAGCACTGTCTGTAATTCTCAGAAGTGTCCCAGTTTGGACAATAAACTACATGCTGACCCTGGCTTTAGGTTGTGTCTCCTTCAGCATTAATACAGCCATCTGTTCACCTTGAACAGCCATCGATATTTTAGAATACCATCCCAAGCAAACTCATTCCTAATAATTATGCTTCTCCCCTTCTGGCCTAGACTACAGCAAAGAACAGAAAGATCTCTGCAGAGCTTGCATCCATGATTGCCTTACACTAAAATAGGCTCCCGAGATACTCTTCTCTCACCATGGTTGACTCCCACCTAGTAACAGAAGCTTACAGTAGGTATCAGAAGAATATAACTACTCCCGTATCACAAAATCTTTGATGCTTCTATCAAAAAAATAGAGAAAAGAAACATTCTGCATTTCTGACTATTGTACTCTTCGTTGAACACTCTCATAATTTTTTTTTTTTTTTTAGACGGAGTCTCACTCTGTTGCCGGGCTGGAGTGCAGTGGCGTGATCTTGGCTCACTGCAACCTCCACCCACACAGTTCAGGCAATTCTCGTGCCTCAGCCTCCCAAGTAGCTGGGATTACAGGCACCAGCCACCTTGTCTGGCTAACTTTTGTATTTTTAGTAGAGACGGGGTTTCACCATGTTGGCCAGGTTGGTCTCAAATTCCTGACCTCAAGTGATCCTCCTGCCTCGGCCTCCCGAAAGTGCTAGGATTACAAGCGTGAGCCACCATGCCCAGACTCTCCTACAAATCTTTCTAACTCTCCTACTTGTTCTCTATTGGGTGTCACAGAATCAGAATGGAATCAAGTGGAAAATGTGTACTCCTCTTTCTCAGGAGTAGAGAAACTGAGGCAACAGCCAGCTTAGGTTATCCAGAAAAGTCACCTTCCAAAGAAACTAGTTCTATTAAAATCACATTGGGATCCCAAGCAGGCACTAGATTTTCCAAACCTTCACAAGGATCTCTGATTAAAATAGGTCACAAAAAAGATTATTTTACCACCCCCCCCAAAAAAAAAACCATAATAGATTATAAAGTAAAATTACTGTCAACAATGTTTTTCTATGACCCTGGCAGAATCAGGGTGGAGTCAAAGGTATTGAGAACTCAATGAAGACCCCTGGGCATGTGGGCCCCATGCATTACACAGAACACAAAGTTTAAATAAATAGATGTTAAGTCAATGGAAAATACAATGAAAAGCAATAAAAAGCTAACCACTTCTCAACATGGTAGTACCAAAAGAAAAAAAAATGTAAGTGCATCAGCCCACATAATAGATAAGAACACGTTGCTATTACCAAATCACGATGGAAATTTACTGCAACAGATTTACGTCAGTGTGGCTGCTGCTGTATGACAGAATACATACCCTCACAAAAACAGCACTACAATGAGATGATGGCTACCTCATCCTCACAAAGCATCCTCCTCCACCATAAATTCTTACCGAGATAAGAAATAATACATAGTCTATTATTTTACCTTTAATAAACCAAACTAAGCCAGCTAAAACAAATCTAACTATCTACTTTGATTTTAAAAACCCCTCCTATCCTTGCCCCCAAATCTTTTTTTAATACCGTAACCTTCCCTGAAAAAAAACTAGTTACAGAAATCCAAAGGCTGAAATGTACATATTTTAATTTTCCTATAAATTGAAGTGTGCCTTAATAGAGGAATAAAACAAAAGATTAACCATTCTTGAATGAAAGTGATTAAAATTTGATTTACACTCATTTTATCTAAAAACGTATCAAAAACACTAAAACTGCCTTAGGGTTTATTCTTTCTGGGTAAATTACTAAATCTCTAAAGCCAGTCTTGAAATAAATTGTCTAAAAGTCAGACGCGCTAAAGAAATGAGTAAGGCTTTTTTTCTTTTTTTTTCTTTTGAGACAAAGTCTCGCTTTGTTGTCCAGGCTATGGCGCAGTGGTGCAATCTCGGCTCACCGCAAACCTCACCTCCCGGGTTCAAGCGATTCTTGTGCCTCAGCCTCACGAGTAGCTAGGATTACAGGCGCCTGCCACCACGCCCAGCTAATTTTTCCATTTTAGTAGAGACAGGGTTTCACCATGTTGGCTAGGCTGGTCTCAAACTCCTAACCTCAGGTGATCCACACGCCTGGGTTTCCCCAAGTGCTGGGATTACAGGCATGAGCCACCATGCCCGGCCAAGTAAGGCATTCTTACACTAGACAAGACAAATTCAGAACTACTCATTACACATTTCATCACCTCTAAGATGCCATTAATTGGAGGATTATTTTATATACCACTAAGACAAAAAGCTGTCAAATAAATATGATATCACTGACCCAATATCATGCACCCAACATCAGTGACAGTAAAATGTGAAAAAAAAAGGTATCTTAGAGTCAGTGAAATACCCTCAAATTCCTATATACATCTGTGTTTTTGCAATTACAGATATGATTTATAGTCTTCTGCAATCAAAACCTTCGAAATGTAAAAAAATTAAAATCTCTTACCTTCCGTACTACATTCAGGAAAGGTATCAATGAGGGAATCTGAGTGAGCTTCAGCAGGACCAATTAATTCAGAACTATCATTAATTATTCCACCCTAAAAAGATAAGAGCAATTGTGCTTCATTAGCATTAAGAGCATAAACAATACTAAATGAAAAATAGTTATCCCAATTAAGTATGTGTAAAAATTTACAGAAACGACTATACTAATCTATTAAACTAGATGACAAGTGTTTTCGAAAAAATCAATAAGTGTATCAATATTGGTTCATCGACTGTAACAAATGTACTACACCAACTCAAGATATTTAATGGCAGAAACTGGGGGCTGCAGGGGAAGAAGAGATACTGAGAAAACTTTGTGCTTTCTGCACAATTTTTCTATAAACCTAAACTGCTCTAGAAATACACTATTATTTTAAAATTCAATAGGAATATTATCATGTTTATAATAATATGTGGTTTTTTATAAAAGTATATTATGTTAATTCTAACCAAGTACTCATTAAGCAAATGCAGAAGAAAAAAAAAATGAACTAAAGAATATTGTTCAGTATCCTTGGGGACTGGTCATTTTAATTAGTGATAAATGATGGCCCATCAGGAATTCATTGAATTTTATCAAATTATACCCTACAACATATCACACAGCACCTCAGGTGATCTGAGAAGCCATTTAAAGTTTGAGAACCACTTGTATACAATATAGGTAAAACTAAAAAAAAATGAAGGTACTTTCAGTAGAGATATCTTTTAAAGACATAAAAAAATATAAAATTGATTTCTCTATGTGGCCATCATTTTAATTCCCTATTTAGGTTTGCAAATTCACGCCTCAAAAAGTTATCTTACTCTACATGCAGCTAGAGAATGATATCATCAGACAAGTAGTGGTGGTATGATGTTGTGCTATGGCTTTATGAAGTGAATGCTCCAATCACGATATAAGAGCTTATAATCCTTAAGTAATTAAAACAATAGCTCTTCTGCTCCTTAATATCTTCCCTTCTACCTTCTACCAACAGTTCTATCCCTCCAAACACTACTAACAGAATAATAAAGCTCAAAAGAATTACAAGCCCCCATTTCCTCTCTACTTTAGCACAAAAAAATTCAATGACTATATTTTTTCTTTTTTTTTTTTTGAGATGAAGTCTTGCTGTCTCCCAGGCTGAAGTGCAGTGGCATGATCTCGGCTCCCTGCAAGCTCTGCCTCCCGGGTTCACGCCACCCTCCTGCCTCAGTCTCCCGAGCAGCTGGGACTACAGGCACCCGCCACCACACCCGGCTAACTTTTTTGTATTTTTAGTAGAGATGGGGTTTCACCGTGTTAGCCAGGATGGTCTCGATCTCCTGACCTCGTGATCCGTCCGCCTCGGACTCCCAAAGTGCTGGGATTACAGGTGTGAGCTACGGCGCCCGGCCATCAATGACTATCTTTACCTAATCAGAAGTCCCTTCTCTGTCAACTTAATTTTAAGGAATAGAAATTGGAAATGGTCCCTGTCAAATTACCAAATTTTACTTCCCTGAGTGTTATGTGAACTAAAATTTTAAAAATGATTATTCTCTTTAGGAACAACAATGTATATTACTTTATTCTACCCTTTATTACAATACTCAGATTACAGCTTATATTTGAACTTTTCTCCAAAAAGAGTATCTACTGTAGACTAAGTCATCTTTTAAACAACATCCAAACCAAATCAAGATTTTCCAGTATTCTAGAGAATGTTAAAAGACAAAATAAATTTTAAAAGAAAGTATCTTTCAACTATTAACTACCTCTTCTACCACTAGGTGTGCGATTTAAGTTACCTACCTATAAAATGTCTTCTAAGACATTATTTTATTTTACATATTTCATGCAAAATAAAAAATACACACAAAGTATTTAGAACAATGTAGGCACTCAATAAATGTTTATTATTAGTTGACATAAGATCTTCTTGTAAGATAAAATTTAAAATGCAAAAAGAGTATCTGTTGTAGACTAAACCATCTTTTAAACAACATCCAAACCAAATCAAGATTTTCAAGTATTCTAGAGAATGTTAAAAGACAAAGGTAATTCTAAAAGAAAGTATCTTTCAACCATCAACTACCTCTTCTACCACTAGGTGTGCGATTTAAGTTACCTACCTATAAAATGTCTTCTAACTAAGATGTTATTTTATTTTACATATTTCATGCAAAATAAAAAATACAAAGTATTTAGAACAATGTAGGCACTCAATAAATGTTTATTAGTTAACATAAGATCTTGTAAGGTAAAATTTAAAATGCAAAACGTTTTAGCTCATAATCCTAAATATTTTATTTACCTAGTTTAACAAACACTGTTATAAAAAATAAATAGTAAAGAACAAATATTTAATGAAACACAACAAAAACCGTTATACAGGAACTAGAGGGATGTAGCAGTAAAATAATGCCACAATCCTAATTTTAAATTTCTAATTCAAAAATAACCTTTTGGGTGTTTCTGAGTATGCAGTAAAAAAATTTCACAGAAATTCTGGGATACATAGTATCTCAAAGTTTTTTTGTTAATGAAGAGTCTAACAGGGAAGGACTTCTGGTATAGTGAAGTTAGGAGATCCAGCAAATGCTTTCCCCAAAAGGCAATTATAAATCTGGAGAAATCTGTCAAAACCACCATTGAGGGCTCTGGAAATTGACTAAAAGCATAAAGCAAATGAAACAGTGGCTACTGAGAAACCACGGAACCACAGGTAAGAACTATGCAAGTCTGTGATGTTCTTGCCTCGGTTCTTCCCAACCCCCATGCCAGCTGGGTGGTGACAGTAATTACATAAAGGCAAGGCAAGTCTTGAAAACCAGCAGGTTCACTTTTGAGGAGGCTAACATGATTTGGATTGAAGCACAGAAAAAAATAAAAATCCACCCCAAATATTATTGTCAATAATAGTAGCAATCTCAGGGCCAAACATACAGCAAGGAAAAGTGATGGCTCAGCACGCCTGAAGCTGCAGTCAGGAAAAGACCAGACAGTAGGGAGATCCAGAAAAATAACATAGCCACAGGGCGTCTTCATAAAGCTCACTACCCATCTATGTAGGGACCAGAGAGGGGTCAAGCTATCCACGAATACCTGGCAAACCATGAGACAGTGCCCAGGCACAGAGGAAATTCGAGACTTCAGAGGAAAGTAAAAGCCAGGGCAAATTTTAAAACAGCTGAGACTTTGAAAACACATTTAAAAATCATCAGCATTAAAAGGAAAGCATATAATGCACAGGCGTTTAAGCACAAGCAATGACCGAGCATTGGCTGACCACAAAGCTATGCTGACACAGGTCTAACCCCTACATAGCCTGGCTTAAAAATAAAATTAAAATTAAATATTGGGCAAAGATATCAGCAGTCACACACTTCACAGGAAATGGACTCCACAGATTTACTACAGACTAAACACATTAACAAAAAGTGCTAGTTACTAAACACACTAACATAAAATGGCAAGAACCCTCAGGGAGAAAAGAACATCAGAACCTAGGGTTCTATAGTATATTATCCAAAATACAGATTTTCCAACAAAAAAAAAAAAATTACAGGACATACAAAGACACAGGAAACTATGTGACCCAAACATGGGAGGTAACCAGTCAATCAAAACTATCTGTGAGGGGACAAAGATGTTGGACTTGGCAAAAACTTCAAAGCAGCTATTAAAAATATGTTCAAATTATCAAAGGAAAACATGATTAAAGAATTAAAAGGACTATGACTCATGAAACAGCAAATATAAATAAATCAAAATTCCTGGGTGAACCTTCAAAACATAAATATATGTGGCCAGGCGCGGTGGCTCACTCCTGTAATCCCAGCACTTTGGGAGGCCGAGGCAGGCAGATCACGAGGTCAGGAGATCAAGACCATCCTGGCTAACAAGGATGGTCTCTACTTAAAAAAAAAAAAAAAAAAATTAGCCAGGCGTGGTAGCCGGCACCTGTAGTCCCAGCTACTCGGAAGGCTGAGGCAGGAGAATGGCGTGAACCCGGGAGGCGGAGCTTGCAGTGAGCCGAGATTGCACCACTGCACCTCCAGCATAGGCGGCAGAGTGAGACTCCATCTCAAAAAAAAAACCATAAATATATGTACACACATACACACCCTCTAAATCTCTAATAAAAAAAAAAAAAAAAAAACTTCCCACCTAAATTCCACTCCTAGTATATCTAAGAGAAACAAAAATACATATCTGCACAAGAACTTACATGTCAATATTCATAACAGCACCATTCATAATAGCCAAAAGGGGAACAATCCAAATATGCACCCACACACATTGTAGATAAACAAAATGTGGTATATCCATAGCCACACAAACGAATATTACACAATCACAAAAAAGAATAAAGTACTGACGCATGATACAACATCAATGAACCATTAAAACATACTACTACATGGAAAAAAAAAAACACAGTTTCATTCAAAATAGCATCATAAGATTAAAATGCTTACAAATAAGTTTAAGGCAAGAAGCTCCAGACTTATACCCTGAAAATTACAAAACATGGCTTAAAGAAATTACAGAATATCAGGCCAGGTGCAGCAGCTCACGCCTGTAATCC